CTCCTCCACGCCGTCATCCCGCAGGGTCCTGGCTGAGAGACGCCGGCCCCGCACGAAGCTGGGAGAGGAGGGAGGACTTCGACAAGAGGGTCAGGCTCCGGCCGGGACTCAGCAAAGCCCAGAGGTGAGAGCGGAGGGAGCGGGGTGTTCAGCCGCCCCAGCCCGCAGGGTGCTTGTAGGGCTGGGAGCGGGGGGCCGCTGGGTGCTGGCTGTCGGGGGCCTGGGCACAGCAGGAGCTGCTTGCTTCCACAGCACTGAGAGCGCGAGAAAATGAGTTGACCCGAATTACGAGCATCACTGAACCTCTCTGTACTAACCGCTCGTACAACCACACGTCATATGCTTAACCAGCTAAACTGCAAGGTTTACCGCAAGGGCGGGCATGCCTTCAGGCTCCCTGCAGAGCCATTCTGCATGCAGCTGTATGCAGCTGTAAAACACCCTGGGTTTATTTCCAGTGTCTGTTCCCTTTTTCCCTCACGTCCTGCAACCCTTTGGGTGTCCATAGAGCAGCAGGCCTGGCTCAGCCGGGAGAGGGTGACAGCTCCGTTTAGCATTTCGCTGGTCTCAACCTTCCACAACTGATGTGATGTCACGAAGGGCAGCAGGGCTTGGGGAACGTGAGATAGAAGTTTGTGATCTGTGCCAGCCCCTGGAGTCCAGAGAGGTTTAAAGCTTCATTAGTGCTCCCAGAGCTCCTGCCTCATTTTAATAAATCACAGCAAAGGCCTGTTTGTGCGATGGGAAGCGGGGAGGAAACTCCTCCAGTGTTCAAAGAGGTAAAGTTCACTATGAAATGAATGTTTGACCTCAGCTAGTTCAGGTCCCAAGGACAGAGCCTCACTTATTTTTGTCACCGTTAGGACAGAACAATCTCTCCAGCGCTAGGGACCCCCCCACCCCGACACCGTGCGCTTAGCCAAAGAGGACTTTGCCCAACCAACTCTCTAACAAAACAGACATCAGCCCCAGCCTGACACCAGGAACCTGCAAAAGTTAAAGGAAGAAGTGCTGATACTGTTCAGCATTGAAAATTAAAAATAAACTGCTATTTTGGATCCATCTTTCTTGGCTTCGGTTCCAGCGCTAGGGAGAGCTGTAACGCAGCACCCCACCCAGCCCTCCCGTATCCCGCCAAGCGGACGCTGGCTCTTAGGAACAAAAAGCCCAATTCCGTCCTCCATACCCAACCAGGGGCTGCATGTCCCTCCCTAACCTCAAAACATGGGCAAGTTCTTTACTCTGCACCAGCACGTAGTACTTCAGTGAGTCTGACCACTTCTTTTAAAAGCTAAAAATGCAACAAGATGGTAAGAGGCATTTCAAACCAGAGGTTTGACTTTGCTTCTCTAGTAGAGGGATCAAACACTTCAGTGGAAGCAGAGAAAAACCAATAATATTCCTAGTCAGTGCTGTAAATATTGTTTTTGAAAGAGAAAAATCCATTCCTGTTTGCAGCTGGTGATCAAGAGCACAAGGATTAATCCCAGCTCTAAGTAGGGCTGCTCTTAATTTTATTACTGCCCAAAGCTTTTGCTACAATAAAATCCATGCTAAATACCCACTGGTTGATTAAAATACCATGATACACTATTTCTACACTTGGTTTTAACATTAGTCACAGGAATGATGCATTTAAATGAACTAAAATTGGAAAACCAAAATCTCTAGGCCCTAAAAATACAAGCAGAATGAAACTAAAAATTCCACGTTCTTCCAGTCTCTAATAATAACATCCCTGGGCAAATCTTAAATCTAGTCTCTGACACTTCACAATTGGAACAAATAATTTCTGGTCTACAATTAACCATTACAGTTGCTATTACAGTGGGGAGAACACACAGGAGTTTCAGCTGTCCTCCTTCCCTGCTCTTTCTTTCCTTTTAGCCAGCTTCCACGCTATGGAAAGCATGCTGACTGAGAGCACGAAAGATCAGATTAAATAACTGCATTAAAAAGTCTCTCCAGCACGAGATTCAGTCGAGTGCCTCTTCCTGAGCAATAGATCTCAAAGTCAGATTTATCACAGTGCAGGATGGCAGGCTAACTCTCACCCCAAGGACATCTGCTCCCAGTACGAGGTATATTTTTACTCCATTCATCTTAATGAGGAGCAGTGAACTGAGTCTCCAGGCTGAATAAAGCAAGTGCTGAGCTGCCTTGAAGAAGGTGCTCACTATTTTATTTCCTTTCAGATGTGTTTTCCTCCCACTTGCCTTCATAAAGGCAGACACATAAAATGGAAGTGAAATACCACTTCACTAATGGCCTGAGGTGTCAAAGTCTGCACTCTCACAAACGTCAGCATGCCAAAGCATGGTCGTGAAACCAAATAAGGTATTTTTGTCTCAACAGCATCCTGCAGCGGTCAGTTCCTCAGGTTATTTACAGACCAGGAAGAGGCTGCGTTCTAGTCTCACCATGATCTGCTTGGCTAGTATCTGGTGATTTTAAACATCTAAACGGATTGACTTCTTCATCCTTTGTGGTTATATTGTTGAATCAGTAGCCTTTAGGTAGAACTAGAAGGTTGTGCTCTCTCCCTGGGCTGTCACTTTTACCTGTGAGAAACTGTTTTTAATTCTGGCCTTGTTTTAGCTGAGCAGAGGGATCAGTCAAGTATTCCTCACCAGTTCTCTAAGAGGTTACATCCACCTCTGCACCACCCTCCAGAGTTTAAAGGGGACCTTTTAGTTTTAGCTTTTTAGTTTAAAGGTCCCTTTCCTTTGGCTGTGCTCACCTACTGCTGGGGTTCTCACTTGCAGGACCTAGCAGCCCCCCCAGCAACCCACACACCCCAGAAGAGTTGAGAGTCTGTGTTGTCCTCCACGACTTCGAACCACCCTCTCACCAGCCAAAGAAAGAAGTCAAGCTCCACTGCTCCTAGATCATGCTCAGGCATGTCAGTTTTTTTTCAGGTTTTTATTCAGCGAAAACAAGCTGAGCTATCAGAGCATTTAGATTCCCTCCGTGTAACTGATGAATTCAGCTCTAAGGACAGCTTAAGTAGGAACACAGGGTACTGCTTGTCCAGAGACTGGCCGCATTAGGAATGAATTCAACGCTGGTGTTTGTAGGCTCTGCTGGGACAGTCAGGTATTTGGAGGTTAAAAAGGGTCATTCCTAACCAAGTCTGTGAATTAGTGGCTGTTTTGGAGGTCCAAATTTCAAGCAGTATTTTTGGCTGTTGCAACAGAGTGCAAAGTCGACAAGATCGCAAAGTAACCAGCGGAGAGAGATGAAAACAGTAAAGCGCAAAGCTGTCCTATTGGTATCTTCCACGCTCACACCTTGCAACAGTGTCCAACTCTTCCTCCCTGCAAACCAAGCCTGTGTCCACATGTATCCCTCAGGTCTCCAACACCACAGCCGGCAGCTTCAGTTCAGTATAGCTTTTCTCCTTCACGTGGTTTGTCTGTTCCAGGAGCCAGCGTCTCTCTTGGTCACTCACATCCAGCCTCAACGTCACCTCTTGGAAGACACTGTTCACAGCTACCTGTATTATACAGGAGATAATCAGCTCAGCCCCGGTCATAGGATAAGCACCGCTCATATTCTCTGGGTAGAGGACAGGCTGTTACCACACCTCCTCGAAATGAAGCTTTTTGAACATGCAGATACTGGCTTCATTCTCCTGGCCAATCTTTGCCTCAAATTTGGTGATCCCCAGGTTTGTCACTCCTGCAAAACAAGGCAGAAAGACAAACACTCTGCATATGCATTCCTGTTACCTGCTCTGTTGTCATATCTACAAAGGTAGAGAACTCCCATTTCTGGGGCAGATGTGTCCCTAATTACCCTATGTGTATCACTAGGAGTATGTACTTCTAGATCACTTCATGACTTTACTGCCATTCTCCTGCACTGGGCCGTCCTTACCGTAGGACATCATCATCAGAGTTGCCTCCTTGCCAAATCCTCTGCCACGGTAGCTGGGCTCTGAAAGAGACAGCCACAGAAGTCAGCACCTAGCTATGTCACACAAATCTGCCATGCTGGATATTTTTCAGAAGAGACTGTAACCCAGACCAGCAAAGGATGCAGATCAAGACTGAACAACACGGTAAAGCAAGGAGTATAAAAAGCCTGTACATAACAACACTGCCTGCAGTTGGCTTTAGCCAAGGTGACAAAGGCCCAAGCCAGTTAACAGGAATTTACCTGCAATCATAATTTCAATCTCGCCCAAAGTCGGATCCTCAAAGTCAGTGAGAAAGAGATTCACATCCCCCACCATGCAGTCCTCCTCTGCGTACGCCTGCCCCGACCACTGCTCCGTGTCCAGCACAATGAATGTGCACTCTGGGGAAAAGCAGAATTTTCAGGGTGTGCTAAGAATTATTCAGAAATTACAGAAGGATGAAATTAAAGGCATGTGATGGACAGAAGAAAAAGAGCTTGCAAATGTTAATAATGAGGAAGAGCTAACGATTCGGCCTCGCATGACAAGTTGCATGCTCCCACTTATAGAAATATGAGAAACAGTCTGAAACACCTGTTGGGAGGACAAAGGATTACACAGGCTAAAACTAGAAACAGTGTAGGTAAGGAGCATCAAAGCTTTCATCCTGTGATTGAGGTCTCCCTGCTTCAGCTCACTTTGCAGCAAGTTTGGGCAAAGAATTCTGTTTGGTGCACAAGAGACTGAGACTTAACTGACTCAGTTAGTCCACCTTACTGCTGCTTTCAGTGAGGCTTTTAATGCCAGCTAAGACAAACGTTCCAGGCTGAGATCTTTGCCAGCCTCAGTATTCTGCAGCTCGCTATATTTCTCCTAGGCTTTTATGGGCAGTGATTCATTACCTGCAGTAGAGTCAGGGAACCAATTCAGTCAACACATCTCAACCAGGTAATTATGAAGTCGCTCAATTTCTCAGTGAAAAATATAACCCCTTTCCACCTTTTTAGGATGATCGGACTGGGGAGCGTCGACTGTGCAGCAGCAGCTCAGCAGATAATACTGTGGGAACTAAATCAGTTATCTTTGGAAAAGTGGATAAAAAGGACACCAACAGCCATGGGCATTCTCTATTTTCCTGAGCATATACCAGCTCTAAACATGCTCTGATCCATCTAGAAAGCTACTGTGGCCATATTCCCCTTGGTGAAGCAAAATGTCACCATTCCCCTGATTCCAAATATCGAAGACTAACAACCCCGAAGCTCCACAAAGCACAAGAACTGTTAAGATGGTAAGAGTAAGCCAATATGCTGTAGTACCAAAGTAGAGCCGGCTGCTAAACAGAAAGCTAGGCTGAAGTTTCACGGTGCTGGAGCTACTGCTGCAGGAGGTCTTACATCCCCTCTGGTTCGGCTAGTAGAGTCCACTCACCAGGCGCTCTCAGCCCACTGCAGTTTCCTAGCGGGACAGAAAGGGACCTGCTAGCCACTTCTACCCACTCTTAGAAAATGCTTAAGAGCCTCACTATCTGCATCCTCCCGCCAGCTGCGCTGCATCTCATACTCCTGCTCCAGGCTCAAAGGTTCAGATGCTGTCAGGCGCTGCAGCTCCTCCGATTTCATCCACTCGTGGTATCTGACAACGAGAGCCAGAAACAGATCACAGGCCTCACTACAGTATCACAGCCTGATTTCCACAAAGTGCTCTAAAGATCGTGCACTATCGTAAATCTGTTCTGGACACACCAGCCTGGCATTCATGGCCGCCTGTAAAGCCTCTCTTCCTTAGGTAACACAGGAATCAGCGTTCTCCTTGGCAATTTAGAAGCACAAAGTTTGTTTGTCTTGTAGCTTTGTCTGAGAAGTGCTGCTATGCGAGCTTGATGTTTTTAAGCGTACTGCTCCAGGGGCATTGAGCTTCAGCGCGTTTCATCCTGGCTGAGATCGATACAGCATCTCCTGGCCACTGACAAATTGACTAATACAGGCATCTTTGTGCTGAGACCGCAGCTGCCCAGGCCAGCACTTTACAAACAGCCTGCATGCCTGCTTCTGCTTTATCAAACATCCATTTGGCTTTACACAGTGAAGTTTTGCTATTCCATAATCATTAGGGAAAGATAACAGTGAGCATCAGGACAGCTGGCTGGCTGCTCACTCACTAGCAGTTATTCCCCTTCCATTGAATACACAGTGGCACAGATGACGTTTTCTTTGTCAGCAGACCTGGCAAAGGGCACAGCTCTGCCAGGGACGGCTGCTACAGAGCAAGGATGGCAAAACTTATTGTCTTTCTACTAGTGCTTTTTCCACTGTGCTGTTCCCACGGGGAAGGAGTCCCTGCAGCTGTCAAGCCAGCACCCTTTCTGAACACCACACACTCTTAAAAAAAAGAGAAGTGAAATCAGACAGTGCAAACAGTAGCAGGGGAGACATGAGCCACGCACCGGGGCACGTGTGCAGAAGTGTATGGCACCAGAGTCACCCTCTTTCCTTGCAGGACTGTGTTCTGGTTGATCTTCATGGCATCCACAACACAGGAGGGACCTGACACATCACTCTGTGTCTCCAGTGAGGCCAAGGGGATGGGGCAGCATGACCCTGAGCCCTGTAGAAGGCAACGATGGCAACTCTCACTGCGCGGACAGACCCCAGCTCATACCCCCCCCCCCACATAGTGGCTTTCCTGCGCCCTATCCGCTTTCCCCCATGAGGTGGGGGTGTATTGGTGCCGAGAGCCCCCAGAGATCCAGCCGATGGCCTGGGGTCTGACCTGCCAGGGGCCTGGGCACTTCGTGACGTGAGTGGTGGGGGGGG